TGCTCACCCACAGACATTCACAGGTTCATTTTGAGGTATTAGCAAAACAACAAAGCTAATGCTTTTCACGGAACTTACGTAATTGCCCATTATACATTGTGATATAGCCTGGTTCGTTGGTCCGTTAGATCGGATTGCTTTCTCACTACAACCGAACCGCTCCAGAGTTCATTTTCAATCGAGCCGAGACCACCTCGTTCAGGCGATCTCAGACCGATTGTTTTGGCGCGGATCCGAGAGCGATTGTCGTGTTCACATATGCCCAAACGAACCGAGCTAAGGGGGGAAACGCAACAGGTTCCATATCAACGGGCCAGATGTGAAAGCACCCTTAAAGTCTTTTTAAAGCGCCCTGTGGTGTCTCTGTAACTCTACAGATCTGTTTTTGCCAAGTGTTACCTGCATTTGAAGCCACAGAGACATTTGTGTACAGTAGCTAGTTCAAACCCTTAATACCACCACCCCCAAATCTGAAGGGACACTATGATAATTATGTTTGTTCTGTTTAATGGAGACCACAACCACAATTACCATAGAAACACACCATTTACCTCACCTTAGATGAGCATGTTCACTTTTATAACTGCAAGAGTTGATGTGTGAAAGATTGAACTGATGCGTACCACCCACAATGCACTGAGAGATGGAAACTTGGCTTTCTTCAAGATTTACTTTAGCAGAAAAAGCAACATCTCAGTGTTTCAATTTACTCCAGATCCCACACACGCTCCCAAGAGCAGCAACGGTGGAACCTGATGCCAATTCCGTCACTTCTGCACCAAAAGCACCCTTGTGATGACCGTGGATCTGCTATTCTTGTTGAACAGTGTTGATGTGCAACAGATGCTAATTGGTCACAGGAGGAGAATCTGAAGCGTTCCAAAGACTTGTCAGAGTAGATATACAACTTGTCTGCTCAAGGTAAGTGTTTCCTTCAGCACAGAAATTTTTTTGTCAAATTTTTTTCTGGTGGAATAAATCGATTATTTTTCAATGTCTACCAATTATAGGCCACACAGGCAATAAGTACACAAAGGAACAACACTGGAACTGCTCATACACACACTATGTACACACACACACACATTTCTCTCCCTTCAGTCATGAAATGTGCTCTCTTCTTGTGCTACAAAAATTCAGATCCCTCTACCTCTCAACCGCACTGCCCAAAAACCTCACAGAGCTTGACGGAGTTGACTGAGCATGCCCAGAGGGTGCTCGACTCATTTGAAGGAAATTGTAAAGGAGACACAGAAAGCTAAACAAATTACACAGAGGAGAGTTGAGACAAACAGAGAAAGAGGGGCGCCGTAATTCTACTGGTGTTAGATTTCTCGTCCCTGGACATGCTGAATATTAAATCTAAAACTGGAACAGAACTATTGCACAATCAAGTGCGCCTGAATGCACCGACTTGGATGCTGCAATGGCGATGCTTTGAAATATTTCTGTAGTGCTATGTAGGCTAGCCAGCAGACTTGTATGTGTCAACACAAAGCTCTGCTTGAAAATATGTGTTTTTGGTCATTGCTGCTCAAAGAAGGAAATAGGCTTATGGGATTTTCTTTCCATTTGTATCTATTATAAATCAAATCAGATGTAGACAGGCATGTCTGTTGTGAGACAACTGATTTTGATATATCAGAACATTAAATTTACCAATGGACGATAGCCATAGATAGATAGACAGATAGACAGACTGACAGATGGATGGTAGACAGAGATTCTCACCTGACTTCCTACTGTTTGAACTGTTCTGTTTGTTCTCTTTGTACACCAGCTGCTTAATCCACAACGTTGGAGCTGTAATCTCTGTTTAAAATACAACATAAAATTGATTTGCACTTGTATATCAGTCATATCCATAAATGCAAGACTCGTATGTTGTTGTTGTGTTGCTTATTTTTGCATGGGGTCCAAACTTACCCTCACCTTCTGGGACAACATGTGTCTCCATGGTTGGTGTGGGTTTGGAGCCATCATCTGGATTGAGGGTGAGAAAGAAACGGAAAGAGACTACCATTATTGAGGTTAATACAATCTACTCTCCACAACTGTTGAATGATTGGGATTTGCACATGGCCCGGCCAATAGCACAGAAAACAAAGTGGGTGAGGGACAGAGGATACAAAGTGAGAAAATACAAGTGAGAAAACACAGATAAATAACAGTGTTCATCCACTCAGTAACACACACACATATCAGAATGCAAAAACTAGCTTCCACATACATACTGTTTAGATAAATGGTATTGTAATGCATAATTGTATAAAAAGGCAATAGTACATTATTTAACACATTCAAAGTTGTCATGATAATTGAGAAATGGCAAATGTCCTACAGTACTTACCCACTTATGTTCTATTGCATTCTGGCTGATTTTCTTGTGGCTCACATCATTGTAGGCCCTGGCAGTGGAGGGGCCAAAGCTACAGAGCTAAAGCCACAACAGGGTGGCAGCGAAACCAGTTCATAGAATACATGTAGTTCACTGAACTGAATTACAGTCAATGTGACACAAATTTTTCCCTGACCTCTACATTTGCATGTAAAATCTGTTTATGATATAAGTTCTGAAAGTTAATTCTATTATTCCCTGTCTTATATAAACATGGGTAATTTAGAAAGATAGCAGCAGCAGCAGTAATATGATCTATACACTGTTAAAAGCTCAGAGTCAGAGAATTTCCGGTCATTAAGAGCAACAGTGACAGCTACTCATTGTACACCTTAAATCAAACCAACTAGCTTCAAGATGAATTTCAACATAGCATTTTATTCAAAGCAATTAAAAATTAGAAGAAAAAAAACACCCAATTGACCCTTCGCAGGGAGTCTGATTGACAGGGGATCTGACCAATCATAACACAGAATCTGCCATTTTTGTCCGACAAACAAACCAGACAGGAGAGTAGATTGACATTGGTGGACTTGAACTTGAAAAGTGTGTATTGACATATTTCCACGGTTGAAACAAGATACCTTCTGATGTTCATTCATGTTTATTTCATGCTATAATTAGTAAAGAGGAAGAAATGATTGGTTCACGTGCCGCTTGAACTGAGATCTGTCACGACACATTAAAGGACCACAATAGGGTATTTATTGTTTGAATTTCTTACAAAATGACAGAATTTGAAAGCTGAGACTTTGTTTCATACCAAAAGTAACCTGCTTTGTCTTGTCTGTCGGCACGTTGTCAGTTTCCTCTTTGCTCCGCGATATATTTTTCACTACGTGAGAACATGATGTGTGGCGTGAGAGCGCGGTGGCTTCTTGGACGTACCAACAGTAATGAAGGGGGGCAGGTCTTTACGAAGGGTCAACTGTTTGTCTTTTGTGAAGGAATTAATTCCTTCATCCTTCACAAATTTAGAATTGTAAACGTCAAATCACTACTGTTTTATGCTTTAGAGGATACTTCAAACACTGAGAAATGTTTCAAAATATCTCTTTTGCGTTCTGCAGAAAACAAGAAAGTCCTATTTTAAGTTATCCTAACAGGAGTAAAAGCACAGTTTTAAGCATATTTCATGAGTTAAAAACATTCTGAAACACAGTATAAAAAACTTAAATGAGATATTTGAAAAAGAACACTGATCAAAATTAGTGAACACTTTCAGATACCTCCCAGTTATTGATGTTAATCTGGCTCCTGGTGCTAATGTCCTTAATTATCTGACAAACCCTATTTAACTGGCAGCCTAACTTTCCAGTTTTCACTGACTTTGCAAGATAGTGAGCCACTCTAAAGTGACTGAAACCTTCTGCCAGCAGGTTATCCAGATGAAGGCCAAAGGGATTACCTTTTCAGCTATAGCAAGAGAAGTTGGTCATTCCAAATCTGTGATTTCTCAAATATTGCATCTTTAAAATGTAATTAACTCATTCAAGTCCCCCAAAAAGGCTGATCATCCATGAAAGACAACTGCATGAGAAGACAGGATAATGCATAGAATATCAATAGGCAATCGGTTCAACACTGCAGCTGGAATTGCTTGCCAGTTCAGTGCTGAACAGGGTAAGGATCTGTCTTGGTATACACTATACAGTGTCTCGACATTTAAGAGAATTTGGACTGAAAGCCCACTCTGCAGTGACCAAACTTCTCATCAGCAGAAAGAATCAAAAGGCTAGACTAACTTTTGCTGAGGAGCATGTGTGGAGAGAGGAGAACTGGTCCAAAGTTCGCATCAGTGATGAAAGCAAGTATAATTTATTTGGGTCTGATGGGAAACATTATGTTTGTCATCAAACTGAGGAAAGACTGAACCTAAAGTGTGTAAAGAAGTCAGTGAAAGGTGGAGGATGAAGTGTCATCGTTTGGGGGATGTTCTGTGCAGCAGGAGTTAGGCCACTTATACAGATACATGGCAGGGTGAATGGAAATGTTTAACAGAACCTCCTGTGGCAACATGCGGTTCCTTCTCTGCGTTCATCGCCCACTCAGCCAGCGATTTTCATGCAGGACAATGCCCCCTGTCACACAGCAAAACAGGTAAAGCAGTTCCTTGAAACTGAAAACACTGAAATAATGAAATGGCCAGCCCAGAGTCCTGATAAACCCGACTGAAAATGTTGGGAAAATCCTTGGTGACAAAGTAATTGCTAAGAAACCCACTGCACTCAACGAACTGTGGAAGAGACTGGAAGAAGAGTGGACCAAGATCACACTAGAGCAGTGTGAGAAACTAGTGATGTCCTGTGGCCGCAGATGTGCTGAAATCATTCAAAGCAAGGACCTGTACATTTCCTACTAATTTCTGACTGCTGTAACCTTCAAAAGTTTTAGTTGTAATATTTCTTCGTGCTACAATCATTGCTGTTCTCTAATTTTGATCACTGTGTTTTTCACAAAATAAAGTTTTTGTTGTTGTTGTTGTTGAAGTGCCTTGATTATTTTGTAAAACACTGTTCTACTAGCATGGTATAGCCGCAACTAAAATTCCTTCAAATTTTAAATGATGAAAAATCAAGTGTTCATAAATTGTTCTCTAATTTTGATCTCCACTGTATGTAGCAAGCTATGTAGCTAGCTAACAAGTAACCTAGCTAGCCTCCACTAGCACTACCTAGCTAACTACATGCGATGTTGTAGCTTTAAAAGCTAAAACACAATAATGATAAGATTATTTACCTTTAACAACCTCACAACTCATTGTAGATATTTCTCAAAAGGTTTATAGTTCTGTCTTGACAACTCTGAGAGTTTAGCATGATAATATACAGTACATGGCAATGTTAATGTTTTTGGTCTTGGCAGAATTGATCTGCTACGCTGCTGCTGCGGCAGAGCAAGTACCGAGACTTGCTACTGCCAATACATCCACAGACATGCTGCTGTGAGCATGTAGGAAATACTGCTGCTGCACATTTAACACATATGAAATAACTCCCATATATAACATACATGAAATCACCCCATAACAGATCTATACAGGTGGAGCTGGGGAAGGTGGAGGGTTTCTGAAGCGTGCTGCAACTGCTACAGCAAGCACTAGCCAAATATTTGAACGTTGAGCAGCAAGATCATTGGCTGTTGAAGCGAAAGAAACCAATCAGCTCCGCCATGTGAATAATGATGTGATTATATCAGATTGAGTTAGAACCTATTGGCCTGCGCCATCTAGGGTTGCACGACAGAACTTTGTATTCATTGCTAAAAATCAATTATGCTAACAAAAGAGTGAAAGGCATTTTTAATCCTGAAACCCTACAGTGAACTCTAAAGACTCACATACAGTGGCACACAACCACTGTCCACCTGCTGGTGACATAAACATCTGTTGCACACGCAATTTGTCTTGAGTGCAGCCCAGTGCAGAAGAGGTGAAACAAGATCTGAAAAAAACAAACAAAAAAAAACCAAACAAAACAGGCAAACCTTCTCCCATTCCTGCGATATAAACCTAAACGCACTCTCAAACCCCTATACACCACCCTCGGGGCCTGTAAATGACAATCTGGCTTTCCTGAGAGTAGATGCCTGCCATTGCTGCTGTTAACATCTATATTAGCTGTTTAAGATGTCACTGCTGTAACAGACTGGTGGGGCTTTGGCAGAGCCCTGCCTTTGATGTGTGCTAAGTTCTTACACTGGCTGTTAAATGGAACAACTGGAATAGGTTTTCATCCTTTATGGTCCTTAGAGAAACTTAAGTCTGAAGTAAAAGCTTGACAGAAAGTTGAGTCAGAGTCAGGCCAATGAACATATCAGAGAAATACAAGGCAACAGTTGACATCTTTTTGAATGTGCTGACACATTTAATCTTACATGAATAAATAAAACGAGGCAAGAAATGTTAGTTTAGCATCCTAAATTGTTAGCTTTCAATATCTCTCATACATAAGCACACGCTCACATTTCTGTGAAATCCAACTCACCTTTTCTGCCAGAGCTTGGAGGTCCCGGTGGCTTATCGGTTACTGACCCTTTAAAGAGAGAGCAGAATGTTTACTCAACTTTTGCAATGCACTACAGTAACCACTTCACTTTGGGAGAACAGGTTAAAATATGCACTTGTATGAACAGCATGCATACAAAAGATTACAAAATGCAAGTGATAATTGTAACATCTTAACTTACACATATAAGACAAATGGGAATCAGTACAAGGATAAAAATAATAATAATAATAATAATAATAAAAAAATTAGACAATAACCACCAGACCACATTTTCTTGAAACCACATTTTCACTGCTGAAAATGTTGAGATGTTATTATCTAGAAATTAAGTTTCCTGTAATGTCAGCCCCATATTATTCCAGATGTTGGGTGCATTCATTCATAGCACATAAACAAAGAAAAAAAGAAAAAGAAATATAAAAAAAACACACACATAAGGAAAAATGGTGTGCAATGCTACATATTTTATTTAGGTAGTGAAAATAGCCACAATAATTGTTACAATTATTTACATCCATTATTCATATCTCATTATTATTATTAATTATATTATTATTAATTACTCTTATTGTTATTGACAATAGTGCTGTAGACGCACCTCACTGCAGAATATAGCTCCAACCTTGTTCTAACGTGCCAGTTTTTAAGCAAATGTTTTGTGCATTTCTGTAATTGTACTACAGTGTGGTTTTCCTGATTGAAGTCCCCTGTGTAGACGTCAATGGAGATATTCTTGATTTGCTAGTTGTGTTTGATTTGTGTTGAAACAAAATTCTGCAGCAAGACAGATCTCCAGGATTGAGTACCCATGAATAAAACACACTTTAGTGTGACATGAAACAGATAAAATGCTTTGAGGTGGGGGTAGTTACGCACAAACAATCACATTGATCCAAGAACGTGCAAATGCTCAGGATTAAAGGCATGCATACATTTAAGATTAGACAGTCAAACCAATTAAAATACTGGAGAGAAAGAGAACTTTGAACAAAAGGGCTATTTGGAATGAAATTTACTACCTGACAATCCACTTGTCCCAGCATGAGTTCCCATAAATTCACGGAAGTTTCCTGCAAACGTGTGCAAGACATTTCACTTAAGTGGTGATTCATGGGATTCACTCATTTCTGGGACAGGACTAGTCCATCTTTTGAACATTCATGAGATGTAGAACACTGAGCCAAGGTTGAAGCAAAAAAAAAACAGAGGTTGTCTTGGACATTAAACATCATCAAGCTGAACAGATAAACTCACTTTTACAGTGTTTAAAACTGCGTTCTTGCAAACTATTCTAACTCAAACTTTCAAGAAAATGTTTTTTAAATAAAGACGGGAAGAGTTGTCGGAAGAGACTGGAAGAGCTGTAAAAAAATCTCCAATGGGAAAATCTGATTGGGTTTTTGGAGGAAACCAGGGTGATGCTAACTTCCAGGTTGGCTTACAAAAATACATAATCACTGCATCACTCTATTACTTCCAGTTTATTTCTCACAAAGGAAATGGAAGGTAAAGTTGAGTGCATTGCAATGTGGGATGTGGGATTATAGTGCATACTATATTTTGGCAAGTGTAGTAGTAATCTACCTTTCCATTCATGAAGATTTTAAAGTTATAGTGTACTGTGCACACTGCATATTACAGAAAAAGTAGAATGTTAGCATGCTATTCTAATCAAAACCTGTGAAAAAAACACAGTGGTGTTTATTTGAGTGGCCCAATATAATAACACTGACTTAAACAACATTATGGTTTGGGGGCAGGACTTCCTGTTAATCCATACAATGGAGTGTTTGGGAAATCTCTTTGGAAACCTGTTCAGTAATTCCATTTTGCAATTCTGTTTGGTGCCAACAGGGGTGCAGAAATGGTGAAATAAAAGGTCCCAAATATAAAATACATTATTTAGAATGGTAATAATAAACATTTTATTTTTTAAAAGAAAATAATTAATTATACAGGTGCATCTCAATAAATTAGAGTGTCGTGGAAAAGTTCATTTTTGCACTACATTCTAATTTATTGAGATGCACCTGTATGTAACAGGCAAAAATTACAAAAAGTCACAGGTGTCTCTGCAGTTAGCTACAGATGAACTGAACTGACAAGTGACAACTGTATGGACCGTCCAGAAAGCTAGATGAAATATAGCATCAGGGTTAGGAAGGCATAAGATGGCATGTAATCAAAGAACTAGAAACCAGGTGCTCCAATCATAATGTAATCCAGTTCTGGCAGGATACGGTGGCGTTATCTCCAACAGAACAATCTTGGCCATTAGAGCAAAGTGTTCCCATTCATTTACGAAGAGAAAAGCTTCCTCATTCCAACCTTCCACTGAAAGCAGTTATACAATGAAGAGAGAACGAGAAAGCAATGATGGAGAAGGAGGAAAAATAGTAGAGAATGAAACGGATGAAGAGAGAGATTGATTGAGTGTGAATTTGGAAAGAGACAGAAAGAGAGAAACGCAAAAATGTAGAAACCGTAAAGAAGAGGAGAGAAAACTTTTGGAGTCAGCATATGTCCTCCAGGATATTATCCATCACCTCTCGGTTCCATGCACAAACACAGTAAAAGTAAACTAAACAGAGCGGTGGCTAGAGTTTAACATCACACTGACTCCATCAAAACAAAGAGCACAATTTAAATCAAACAAAGTCTAATGGCTCTGAAAGTGATGGACTACAGGCACAACTTCTTGACCGAGGCACATGATGGTTTAGCGGTTCTGCTTTTCAGCACGACCTAAACACAAAGCAATAATCCAAGCGAACAGTCTAGAGATACTATCTGCATACATACAGTACCTGAACACACTGGTGTTTTGTTCTGGACAGAAGAGCCGCTGACTGGCTTGCCATCTGTCGTCACGCACCAGCAGTATCCTGTGAGGGTGTGACATTGGACCTGGAGGAGATACAGATGGATAGAGGTGAGAGAAAATTCCAGTAATTGCTCTTGTATCTCCTGGACGACCTGCAGAAAACCTCATGGCGCTTGCGCTAGGGGAATACAATTATTCAGAGTGAAAAATGATGAGGCATTAAAGCTTAGGCGGGCTGGATGATCGCTGTTTAACAAAGTAAGGCGCAGGTGAAATAAAGGCTGCGAGTCTATAAATGTGATTTAATGTACACTTTCCATTCAAATTCCCTATTCGGCCGTACTGATGAGAAACACAGGGAAGTGCAATTTTTTAGAGGTTGGGGAAGATGTTGGAAGGCTAATTTGTCCACTAGGTAGGTTTGCTTTAGGATTAGTCGATTAGTATGTCAGAAACAACACTCCGGCAATCCGGAACTCTGACAGACCTGGGCAAATGTTCCATCGTCATTGCATTCTGGGATAAAAATGGATTCCTGTGGCCTTTTGGCCTGTTCCAAAGCCTGAATCCTCTCAGTCCGACATTTCGTCTGGCCCGCTTCTGCAATATAGATACAAATGTGCCTAATTACACACTTGACGTACAATTATTGCTATAATATGAACAGTTTTAGTACATAAGGATAGTGATGCAATGGGAATGTCATGGATTTGATTCTGAGAGAATTTTTAGGAAAATATACCTTGAATTCACTATATGTTGCTTTTGGAAAAAAAATATCTAGGAAATTAATAAATTGAATCATGCGTAAGGCAAGTTACTGAATAATCATTGGAAAATTCCCATACAATAAGATACCAAACATACACACTCCCACACTTTTCGACCAGTCAACTTCCATGACCTTTCCAGTTGTTCATGATTACATGATAGGTATTTTGAATAGACTTTAAAAAAATAATTTTACAGAAATTTCACTCACAAATACCAACTATATTTTAGATCTGAACAACTAGAAAAAAAAAACATATATATATATATTCACAATTGAAATGTTCATGCCATTTCCATGAACTTTTTAAGATATTATTAATGTTTGTGAGCATTCCAGACTTTTTAAAATAGCTTGATATTTCCATGACCGCTGAAATCCTGAAAACAATTAATAGAACCATTACTGAAGATCGGATTATTGGAAAATCCATCTCATTAAACAGCCTTTGAAAGAAACCTAATCGCTTGCGGTAAGAAGTGCATCATGATCTTGGTCTAATCTTGATCTAAGGATGGAAAATATGAGGTTTGAAATGTCAAAGCTGAGTGTCGTGTTCCAGCATGTAAGCACTTGGTCATTTTGTATGAACACAAAGAGCATTTAGTCATTCTAAGACAAATAAACAACGCTTACAAGTTGGACTTCGGTGCTGGACTGCACCCAAGATGTGGGGAGGCTAAAAACCACGTAATCATTTTCACACTTTTATCTTTTAAGCTATTCACAGTTAAGTCCTCAAATGCATAGACTTGCAATATACTTTCAAATGCATGTGAAGATATGAATTCAGACAGATGTAGCATATCAAGCACACAAAGAGAAAAATTGCAAATCTGCCCTGCATGTCTGAGAGCAGATGCTTTCAAATCACCCATGATGTAAAATAAGAAACACCTGTTGTACCTGTGAAGTCTATGACCGATCAGCTGAGAGAAGCAGGTGGACTGCAATCACCCCCCGACAACACAAGACTTATGGACTTATGTTAATAAAAACCAAGCCCCAAACGAACCAATTATTATACTGACCTTTTTAGTGTTTTCCCTTGTGTAGAATATATCGAAACAGACCTCCAGACTTTTTTTAAATAGTATTTTACAAAACAGTAAATTTACTTATGTATACCAAATTAAAAAAACAACACTTTACTGCCAATTGTACATTTCTATGGAACAAAATATGCAATAATTTTGGTAATTAGCCAACTTTGTTAGTCTGCAGCCCTAAGAAGCCTGACTTTCCTTTTTATTTTTATTTTCAGCTTACTACTTCTGTTTTGCTGAAGAGGTTTTTGGTTTGTACTGTGTATAAACTTTACACTCAGTAAATAATGATGCTTTAACCAAAGTTTCTGTTCAGCTGTATACAACCTGAATTAATTTCTTTCTTCCCCCCCCCCCTAAAAACAGTGAA